CCCCACGACCGGACCCAAAAAAAACAAAAAAAAGAGTCTCTAGGTAGCCGGGAGTCAGTGGCTCATGCCTGTAATCCTAGCTACTCAGGACGATGAGATCTGAGGATCGCAGTTCAAAGCCAGCCTGGGCATGAAAGTCCGTGAGACTCTTATCTCCAATAGACCACTCAGAAAACTGTAAGTGGTGCTATGGCTCAGGTGGTAGAGTGTTAGCCTTGAGCTGAAGAGCTGAGGGACAGCTCCCAAGCCTAGAGTTCAAGCTCCACAACAGACAAAAAAAAAAAAAGTCTCTTGGATTTTCCTGCTCTAGATGGCTTTGAACCATGATCCTCAGGTCCCTCCGCCTCCTGAGTAGCTAGGATACAAGCATGAGCCACTAGGGCTCAACATCCATTTTTTTTTTTTGGGTCCGGTCGTGGGGCCTGAACTCTGGCCTGGGCGCTGTCCCTCAGCTCTTCAGCTCAAGGCTAGCACTCTACCACTTGAGCCACAGCGCCACTTACAGCTTTTTTCTTTTCTTTTTGCTTATGTGGTGCTGAGGAATCGAACCCAGGGCCTCATGCATACAAGGCAAGCGCTCTACCACTGAGCCACCTTCCCAGCCCCAACATCCATATTTTTAAGACAAAAAAAATCAATTGTATATACTCCTAGGACTGTTTTCTACTTTTAGCTACAGAATTCTCCCGACGGTGTACACCCCATGAAACAAGTATTTTGTCTAATTCATTCACTGCCTTGTTTCTTGAGACAAGAATAGTGTTTGGCACCAAGTGGTTGTGAATAGATATCCAATGAATGAATGGACATAAATTTTCCTGTAAGGTCTACTAAGCATTCCATTGGGGCCAAGGATGGGTCTGTTTGGTCCTCTTCTGTGGTTTCAGCCTCAAATAAAGCTTATTTGGTGAATAAGCAAAAAGAGAGGAGAGGGGAAAATAATGAAGGAGAAGGGAGAAAAGGAGGGAGAAAAAAGGGAGGACTGGGAAAGTGGCGTAATGGTAGAGTGTTCGCTTAGCATGCATGAAGCCCTGGCTTCAATTCCTCAGTGCTACATCAACAGAAAAGCCCAGACGTGATACTGTGGCTCAAGTGGTAGAGTGCTAGCTTTGAGCAAAAGAAACTCAGGGACAGTCCCAGACTCTGAGTTCAAGCCCCATGACCAACAACGAGAGGGGAGGTGGGGGAAGAGGAGGAAAGAAAATAAAAAATGAAACTTCCTAGGTTTTTAATCATCCCATATTGATATAGTGTCTTATAAATAATCTTTCAATATTCCTCTTTATACACACAGCCTTGTTGAAACGGTTTTATAGGACAAGAATCTCTGAGAGGAAACCACGGGTCAGGTCCAAAATTCTACTAAAATTTCATGGTCATACACGTGATTCAGCCTGCCCTGAGAGCTACCACCTATAATTAATTTTGCAAAATGGTTTTCCGAACTCTCCTGTACATAACTGACTACCTAAATGGGGTAGCCCAGTTGATGGAATTGCACCTAAGATCAGTAAGCATCACTGTTGAAGCCCCATGAAAGCTGATGTTCTTCAGAAAACAGAAGCATCCTTTTGGATGGCTGTGGATAGAAACTCGTCAGCTGATACATCCCCTAGTTTTATTCCCAACAGACATTTGAGGTCAAAATGAAAGGGCGCAACCAGTGGCGTTAAAAGGACGCAACCTGGCGGCCATCAGGATTGCCGCCCGTTACTGACATAGCAGTAATAGGGATCCTCGACTTCATAGGCATTCTCCTCGATGGTGTAGATGTTTTCCTCTGAGCGCATCCTCTCTGCTGCTGCGTTTGCCAGCCCTGATGGGGGGAGGTTAGCCAGGGTGATCAGGCTGTGAAAACACAAAGTTACAACTGACTTAAGCATTTCCCCATTAATAGAGTTCAATGTACAGTAAAAAAAAAAAAAAGTCCTATAAAGGCAGATAAAATATTCAGTGATTAGTGCTGGAAGGACAGCACCCAAATGAAGTTTTAGGAAAAGAAATGAGTAGAACATACTCATATTCCCACCAAGATTTGAGTTTGAACTCTGTTACTTACCAGCCTTACAACTTGGGGAAACTGCTTTTTAATTTTCTTTTTTTTTTTTTTTTGCCATTCGTGGGGCCTGAACTCTAGGCCTGGGTACTATACCTCAGCTCTTCAGCTCAAGGATAACACTCTACCACTTGAGCCACAGCGCCACTTCCGGCTTTTTTCTTTTTTCTTAAGTGGTGCTGAGGAATC